ACTTGCAGCCATGGACTGAATACTCTGAATAATATTGTCGCTTATACGATGATCCAAGTAATTCGAAAACTGACGCGAAAAACGTAATAAAAATAATAATACAAAAAATAATGAAATCTCTACGAGGGAATTCATGATACGCCTTATGAAATAATTATCGTTACATTTCTTCAATTTGTCTATTTTTTAGACAAATATCACGAAACTAAATTTTCTTGAATCTGTCTCAGATTCTATCTTTTATCGTGATTTTTTTTAAGTACACCCGTATATTATGCATATGTGTATAACACGCATCTGCAGTCAGCATAAGCTTTTCCATTATGGCCTCAAGTACACATCACGCGCGCCAGAGAGTGCCTCGATGTGCCAGATTCTATTTGTCGGCAGGCCGATCCCGCGTTTACCGTCTGACCCGCATTCCGTCAAGCAGCCTGAAATTTCGTTTTGCGTTCGCGTGTCCCCCGTCTCTTCTTCCGCATTACCTCCCAGTGAGCGCAGCAAGTTCAAACGCCTCTCGCACGCGCCTTCGTGTCGATCGACGGAAATTTCTGTGTATCATGATGTTGGGCGTCGTGAAATTATTATTCCGCTGACTGAAGGACACCTCAAGTCTACCTACATGATTTCACAGATAATCCACCTACATGATTTTAATAAAAGAACGATGCAGCGTTATTTTCCTCTACCAGCGGAGTAATGACTTTAAATAATATTCTGTCATAATCATAATCTGAAAAAATTCCTATCTTAAAAATTGTCATCTCGCGACGCGATTGCATTTTTGCGATGTAATACCGCTTAAAACTTTTAGATACATTTAATAAAAATCACGCTCATTTTATTTGTTGTCAGTTTATATATTTATTTCGAATTTTTCTTTCTGAATATATTGATTGTTAACGTATCATTAATTTTCAATACTTCTAATATTAGCACATATGAATGCTAAAGAAATAAAATAAACGAGGGAATTTTAAGGAAGATTGAAATATGGTGAAATGTCAAATTACAGTGCCATGTATTCTATTGAATATACATCTAAAAATAAACTTTTATTTTCGTAATTGCAATTGTGCCTTATCTCGAATTTAACTGACGCCAGAAAGTGGATACCCAACAAATCATCTTCTGCGTAACTACATGACGCCGCTTAATAAAGCCCTACCAAAATAAAGCGCATCAATCAGCATATATCTTATTGATTTATGACATATTTGATATAACAAAAAACAGTCTTATAATCGCATTGTACACATACAATTATCAAAATTGAGCGCGAATTATTGCTTATCGAGGTTAAAAATTCCGATTCTACGAATAGCATGTTACTTTGTGACATTTAGATATTACACAACATCATTACGAAATTAACACGTCCTACTGATTCTTTTTAAATCTCTCGCTTTCTGTGTTATAACATTAACATTTTTTAAAGAAGAAAAATTGTTTATAGCTAATAAAATGTCATAGTAATCGGATATAATTATTAAATTTTATAGATGTTATTATATTTTATAGTTATTATATTTTATAGATGAAAAATATGGATTCAAATCTTTAAATGAAACATCTGCTAATTTGATAAAATATTGCATATGTAATTGTCATATAATATATTAACGAAATATATTATATAATTTCATATAAGATTATGATAATCTTTCATGCACTTTTTCATATGCTTATATAATCAATATTAAATGATAACTGGATTTAGCAAGTTTATAACAACAACAAATATAGACATGATATTCAATACTAACTGTGAATAATATTTAAAGTCTTTAATTTGTTCTTGTTTAAATTGAGCTGAAAAATGTTGATAGAATTTGTTATTTTTACAAAGTTACCTGTAAACTTGATTTTGTAGAAATGAGCAATATGTAGTCATTAATAACTTTCTTGTTCGACGATAGTCACAATGACAATACCCAAAGTATACAAAAAATATCGCATAAATGCAGCTAAAGAAAAGACAAATATATTCGCAAGAACTTATCAAAACATCTAGTTTATTTGAAACATAAATAATGGAGATAAATTGACAGTGATATTTGCATACGAGAAAAAATCGTATAAATCATGGAAGTCAACAAGCAAAATTGAACACGTTCACGATTGTATGTACTTCCGATTATTTCATATTTCATATTAATAAACATATATCGACGACTGACATATTAAATAATCCGCAAAACAAACTAAAATGTAAGTACTTCTGATTATTGATATTGATTTTTTAATACATATAAGATGTAAGTTAAGATTCGAAATATCGATTAATTATGCGGCACAATTGTGTCTATTCATTCGTCATATTTCATGTTTTCGAGACGATTGACTAGAACGCGTTGTCACATGCCTGACAATTATCACTGACAATTATCACTGATAATTATCTTATAGGACCAAGGACACGAGTTCTCACAAAGCAAACGCTTAATTGAAATAGAGCCAGCGCGATAAATGCCGACTTATGAAATTTAAAGAAGTGTCAAACTTACACTGAACATCACTTAATGTGACAAACATATAACATACCACATTTAAAATCGGTGAGCAACGAAATATGTGTTTATATTTGTGATCACGCATCATCTCTAACCATTAACACACCATCGAATGATGATCGAATGATAAATTATTTGAGATTGACAGATCCATCTCGCAGAGTTAATTGTACATCACTTTCAATTACGATTAATGAATTAGTATTAACTATTAATTCGAATTAATTATTATTAAATATTAATTTCAATGTCATCTCTTAAGGACAATACACATTTGATTTGTTCATACAAAAAACAGTTATAGTCAATCGTGAAATAATGATTCTGGTGATAATATTAATTAAAATTGTTTGATTATTGTAAAAATACTGATTATTGTAAAAAAGAAGTATAAATATAAAAATACATTATGTTTGAAAGTGTAGAAAGAGCAATATGTGTCAAGGTAATCTTCTATTATTATAATAACTAGAGAGAAAGAGTGTAAATATTTTTCTAAACAATTATCTTATTAAAATATATAAAAATTAACTTATTAAAATAAAATAATTTCTTATTAAAATATATAAAAAATTATCTTATTAAAATAAAATAATAAGACGTAAATGTGGTTATGTAAATGAGATATTTTTTAAGATATGTTAACGAATAAATAACACACGATTACAATATCAAACAGCAATATCAAAATCTAGTTTCTAATAATAATATATCAAAAATTATGATAATGTATAATGTATATGTAATTAAATTTTCATATATTGTGCGCGCGCAGTGTTAAGACGTCGCATTTATTTATACGCGTCACTTGTTGTCATGAAAATATTATATAATGACAAAATGAATGGGCATAAATACCATATATCACATATTTCTAAAGTAAAAGCAAGCTAAAGCATTCCTTAGGTAACTCATAAGTCCTTGTAGCTTTTTATATGTATTGATTAAATTAATTGTCAAACTCTAGCTCCAATTAAACTTAACTAGCTTTATAAAATCTTTTTTATATATCTTTTATATATATATATATATATATATATATATATATATATATATCTTTTTATATATCTTTTATATATATATATATATATATATATATATATATATATATCTTTCATATTTTTACCAACTTTTCTAGGAGAATAATTTTAATTATGATTGCATTCTTTTTTCTATTCCATTGTGTTTTTGCAATAGTTTCAATTCGTTCTCTCGTAAATTGATATAACTCTTTAGTCAGTATGTCACGGTCTTCTCTCTAAGCAGCAAGATAATTTCGTAATATCGCAAAAAAGTTATTCCTTTCTCTTTTCTTTATCTTATAAATTTCGATATCACAGTTAATGCATCGTGTTGCATTTCGACATAAACAGCAAACGTTTATCAAAATGAAATATCAGCCATACTGATAAATCAAAAAAACATCAGAGTAATACGTCATACTTTTATACTCTGATAATATAGTCTGATCATACACTTGTATCAGTATGTATTTGTATATTAAAAATAATCATTATCATCGACCAATATTATCTCAAAACTACGTTATTAAGTTCATAAATATAACTGATAAATATAACTGATAATGCGGTAACATGAATGATAATTAATTGGATTTACTCTTAAAAAATATATTTTTTCTCCATTTGTGTCTAGCTCTTATAGTCTGTGACTTTGACGAATGCTTTTTACATAGAAAGTCTTACTATCTTATTAATATTTTTTAAATTTCTTAATAAATTATTTATTTGAATTATTATTAAAAATATATTATTAAAAATATATTATTAAAAACATGTGTGTATGTGTGTGATCCGAAATAAACGTAATATAATTATATATATCTTATAAAACATAAAACTTTACATTTTCGTAACCAGTACTAATTAAATAATAATGTTTTATAAATAATTGCAATTATATTGTGTTAATATCAATATTTTTATATTACATATGTGTTATACATATATCACTTTTCATTTAAAGTATATAAAAAGAAACACACAAATCATTTTAATTATATATCTCGATAATTGAAATTTCGTAAAACATAAGTCTGTATAAATTATACATATAATTATTTCTATAATAATTGATGACAGTCTTTTATAAATATCAATTTAAAAAAATTTCTTCTCATATTATAAATTCCTTACATCTTTAAATAAAACAGGATAATTATTAAAATATCATTGACATATGCTTAACTTACACAATTAATGATTCTAAAGCATGACAATGTAGAGCAGCATATCGCGTGATGTTTTTTTGATAATCGGTCTACTTTAGAAAATTGCATTATCGCAATATATTTTACTGAGACTGAATGACTAATAATAATCAAGACTATAAGCGAATCACCATGACCGTGAGGTCGCACGCGCAAATCTTTCATTTTTATTATTTTACGGAGACTACAACATGGTTCACAATCATGGTCGCTGATAACGCACGATATTCTTAAGCAGAATTTCTTTGCAGTTTCGCAGAGAGTGGAATATACCGATCTACGTGACGCGAACCACTCGCTTGCGAGTAACCACGCGAGTGACAGTGTCGCGTGCAAGGGTGGCCTTAAATTTCGTTAAGGCTATACACTCCGTCGTCTAGGAGGAACCGTCCAATCTCTTAGTATCAAATTGATGAGATTAGCAGTCGTTCTCAGTGCGATAGTGACATTAGTTGTGTTCGTATACCCGCTCTCTCATTCGTGATCAGGACAATAATATATTGACGGATTCATCAATCATCAAGCTATCTCCTTGTCATTCGTTGTATCCTGTTGTGATCAAACACATGTTACTCAGAGTATAACTACGCTTGAAATCCAGGTATCATCTCTTAATATTAACATTGCTTTATATTGCCTAAATTGAAAGTTTAGTCAGAATTATATCGTAGAAAACTGATAAATGTAATTTTCAGTAACGAAAGATTATTGAAATAAGTTATTGGAATGCTATGTTTGTTATCATAATTATTATGCCTATCATTTCTATTTTTATAAGTATACTAATAATATATACACAAAGATATATTTTCGAATGAAATTATTGAAAAATTGCATTTTTATTGCACACAGAATAGTTTTTCATATACCAATGTGCAAGTTTTTTAACAGATTAAACAATCTGGTTAAATATGATAAAAGTATTACGCGTTAACGTTTCAATGTAAAATATGATCAAAAAGGTTAAATAATTTACAATTTGATTACAATTGAGAAAATGTAATTATTGCATAGATATAAGATAGGCAAATTAAATCGCTTTAAACATAATATGTAAATAATAGTTTGCCTATAAATTTTTTTAATAAAATATCTTCTCTTTACGTAATATATAAAAATCTAGTCGCTCATTCGTTTACCACAAATAATACAAATTTTTAATTTAAAGAAATTATTAGTCTTTTAATTCTAAACATTAAGAGCTGTTATTAAAACATGTATTTATATATTAATTTCTACACAAATTAATTAATATGACATAATTAACTAAATATATAATATAATAATGTTTATTTAAATTAAATGTAAAAAAATTATTATTTCTATATATTAATTTGTGCAATATATAAATCTGTACAAACTTATCATTTTAAATTATTAATAAAAAACTTATTATATATAAAATAATTATATAAAATAACTTATATAAAATAATAAGATTATAAAGAGATAAGGCACTACTATTTGTATTTTATTTTTAGTATAAGTAGACTGAAAATAACATACACAAATAACATACATATTTTTTTTAGTTTTTTGAAAATAAAAAGGTCAAATGTCCTATTCAAAACAGCTGTTGAAACGACGTGCGATTATATATTAAATTCTAAAATGCAATTTAGAATAAAATAAAAAATAAAATCATATGTTTCGAACTTATGTCTTGCAATTTTCCCTAGTGGAAATAGATATTACAGAATATTTTATATAAATACAATATATATATATATATATATATATATATATATATATATAATAAGATTATTAGTCAACCTCAGAATGCGTTACAAAACAAAAACATGTTACTAAAACTGTTACATAAAGATGTCGAAAACGATCATATTAAAATGAGGGTCAAGAAATAAAAATAAATCATAAATAAAAAAATACATACATATATAAAATACAATATAAAGTCGAAATATGAGATAAAAATTAAATTAATCAAATTATATATATAGAAAAAAATTTTTTTCTGATAATTAGAGAATGGCAATCGGAAATATAAAGTTTTTTTTCAATGTGAATGTGTGTAGTACGTAATTCGAGAGGGCAATCAGTGATCTAAACTCTAAACGTACTATAATACAATAGGATATTCAAGATAAATTTCCCGATTCTAGCAAATAATTGAGATGGCGAGCGTGGATAGAGATCTCGAGGAACTCATGTCTCACCTGGGTGAATTCGGCAAATACCAATTCCGGCAGTACTTACTTCACTTGCTTGCCGCGTTTACGGCCGGCCTGCACATGCTGAGTCTACTGATGGTCGCGGCAGTGCCGCCGCATAATTGCAACATCCCACAAATGAATTTGTCATCTTCCATCGAGACACATAACTTGACCTTTCCCGACCGGAATACCTCGATTGTTTTGGAGCATCTTCCGCGTCCTCTCGACAGCTGCCACTATTTAGATCGTGACAACATCACTCGAGAATGCGACTCGTGGATCTACGATACGACATACATTCAGTCATCACGCGCCATGGAATGGGACTTCGTATGCTCGCGACGTTGGATGGGTTCTGTGGCGCAATCCTCCTACATGTTCGGCGTGTTTGTTGGTGCAGCCACCCTAGGCACCATGGCGGATAAATACGGCAGAAAGATTATATTTTACATATCCATCGTGGCGCAGCTAGTATTCGGAGTATCGGTGGCTCTTGTGAATAATTATTACATTTTTCTGATGATTCGCTTCTTGTACGGTATCTTTGGCTCCGCCGGTGCTTACATCACCGCGTTTGTATTGACGATGGAGTTAGTAGGTCCATCCAAGAGAACGGTGTGCGGCGTGTTAATGCAATTGATTTTTGCTGTAGGCTTTATGGTAGTGGCCATGTGGGGTGCTATAATTCAGGATCGTATGTGGCTGCAGATCGTGTACGGAATGCACAGCGCGCTTCTGCTCGGCCACTGGTGGTTGATGGACGAATCTCCCAGATGGTTGTGGGCGCACGGTCGCGTTGCCGAAGCGATCATCATCGTGCAGAGGGGTTTAAAAATAAATGGCAGCGATGTACAGGTGGACGCGGCCAAGCTTATTAGCAAATCAAAAGCGCAGCATGAAATCAAAAAGGAAAAATCGTATGGCGCACTGGATCTTCTCAAGACGCCGAATCTCCGTAAAAAGACTCTCAATATATGTTTCAATTGGTTCGCCAATTCGATCGCCTATTACGGACTGACGCTCAATATGGGCAACCTTCTCAGTAATCCATTCCTCACGCTATTCCTCAACGCCGTAATGGAGGCACCAGCCTCCATCTTCGTAATATTTGTTCTGGACCGGACTGGCAGGAGAGGTCTAATTAGCGCATGCATGATGATCGGTGGTGTATGCTGCATCTTTGCCGCCGGCATTACTGGCACGACCGGTAAATTGGCGAATATTATCAGAATTACGATAGTGCTGGTGGGCAAGTCCTGCGTGGCCGGCTCGTTCGCCGCCGTGTACAATTACACGGCTGAGCTATTTCCCACAGTGGTGAGAAACACCGCGGTTGGTATCGGTTCCATGTGCGCGCGTCTCAGCAGCACGCTCACGCCGATGATCTTTTTGCTGGATTCATTGGATCCACGAATGCCAACCGCGCTCTTCGGGTTCGTCGTTCTGACGGCGGGCTATTTGGCACTCTACCTACCAGAAACGCTGAACCAGCCGATGCCGGAGACCATGGAAGACGGCGAAAACTTCGGTAAAGGCGATACCTGTTTCACCACCTGCATGGGCGGTAGAACGAAAATCGCCACGAACGATACCGTGATGGAGCAAATACAAGAAGATGAGAAGGAAAACTTTAATAATAAATAAAGTGTACTGTCGCTAATAAAAAATTTATAAGGTGCCTTCGATTAGTTCTTATGATTACATCGCGGAGTTAAAAAAAAGACGAAAAGATGTTTACTGACTACGTAACATGAAATTACTGGTATTAAAGATACCAATTAGACTTTTTTTTTAAATTCTAATTTTATAATACGCACAATTCATCAATGAAAAGAAATTATTTCATATATAATTATGCATTACATATGAAAAGTTATTATTTAAAAATTATATTTTGGAATTGCATGTGTGATATTGATTTAATATTGATAATGTATTATTACATTAAATTATAATATTGATAATATTATTAATATACATTGTATTATAATATTATTAATATTATATAATCTTATTCTATTTTTGCGAAAAGTATTGAAATATTTCAAGATTTCAATAATAATAATAATATAAATTTTATACATGTATTATATCATAAGAAAAAAATAATATTTTTATAGATAAAAAATATACATGAGAGCAATTTCGATTTTGTAAAATGTTTTGTTGATTGGATATAGCAGCATTATATATATCATATATTTACATATATGACATTTACATGTCCATATATCATACATTTCTATACATGAGCGTATGATAATCATTAATCACAAAAATTTCAATTTCATGGATGAGTAATCTCTGAGGAAGAAGTTATTAAAAGTTTAAATGGCACTGTTTTCCCGCTATCGTAAAATCCATCGCCATAAAATCCCTATAAATAATCCAGGAAAATCAACGAATAAATTCGTTTATTTCTGACTTATCTTGTTACTTTCACCAAGATAAATTGGCCGAGAAAAGTTTAAGGGCTGTGCGAGATAAAGCGAAAAACATGTGCTTTAAAATGCACATATGATCTTAATGGCAAGGATAGCAATTCCGAAAAGATGTTCCGAAGAGTTTCTCGGTGAAACCACCAATTCGCTCCTTTCCCTAGCTAATGGAAAAACTTTGTCGCCTAGTTCAACGCTTTTCCAATCATAAAGTTTGAAAAATGGTCGTGTCGGTTATCCGATTTTTTTACCGTTAAATTAACGATGGTGAAGAAAAATCTTATTCCTGAAAAGTTTCGTGAAATTTTGCTAAACAACCTAAATTGTTACGAAAACGTTGCAAGATATACAATTCTCAATTATATTTTATAATTATATTTTTCTTAAATTATTATTACCATATATTGTACATAATATTTTATTTTAGATAAAAATTTCAAATATTTGTATATTATTTATATTTAATTTAAATTTGTGACAATAAAAAAACTGTTTTATGATAATTAAATTATTACATTATCACATTAAGATAAAGATTTTATGCAAATAAACCTTGCAGTTACTTATCGGAAATCAAATTGAATTAATACAATGCGAATTAATCATAATTTCAATTTTGATTACATGTCATTTTGAATATCAAATATATATATTGAAGAATTAAAAATTAAATATATTTAATTATATTTAATTGTACTTTATTAAATAATGTGATAAAGTAGAATTATCTTACTCATTAAATTCTATACTTCAAAAAGGTGCTATGCATCTTTGCAGCTGAATGCTAAGTACTAAAATGCAATGTGATTACTATAAAAGTTCCTGATCTTCAATGTCATTCGAGTTATCGCGCTTCATAAAATCTAACATTAAACAAACGTAAAATGCATATTTTGCAGGTATATTTATTATCTAGAAAAATATTCTTCAGCATTATATAATAATTTATGCGCAGACTTTACATGACATAGCTGACAACAACAAATTTTTCCGCACGTATTTTTCCATTTTCTGACAGTAAAAAATAACCATCGAGCACAACGGCGCAATGTTGGTTGCCTCTTTTTTCACGATAATTCGAGTTTAACATGAAATCATTTTATACATCATCAATGACTTTCGCGAGATTCGCAAAATGCTAGCTGAGATCAGCTGTAATGGTATTAGTTGTAACGTATTCGCGTTTGGATTTCGTTTGCACGAAATTCCATATGAGCGTAAAATCACTATCGTGATAAAATCAAATACACTTGGCTCTAAGTCATAATACTAAATTCTGACGATTAAATGTGAAAGTGTATTAAATTGTAGATGAATAATTTATAAGTATAATCTTTAGAGAAAATGGAATTTTAGTATCAAATATTTGCTGAGCAGAGCGCACGCATTAGTTTTGCTTTTCTTGGCTATAGAAATCGTTAATCATAATAAATTATTATTCAATGAGAGATAAGGGAACAATGAAGATATAATTAATACCGTTTGGAGTTCTATAATTTCAACAAAACAATAATAATTAACACAATGAGATATATTCAATTTCACTATTAAATGATATCTAGAATATCTAGATATAAATATCTAAAGTATAAATATCTATAGAAAAAATTAGAACAAATATTAGACAAAATTCCCGAAAATAAGAATGTGTCCTCGAAAAGAATGTGTCCTCGGAACAACTTGTTATAATTGCGTGTACCGCAGCTCGTACAGCTTATATATATATGTAAATCCAATCCTGAATCGTACACTCACCTGCGTTATCGAACGCGTATGGGTCCATGCGCGAGGGATGCTGGAGCGGGAGATACGAGAGCACACAGTGGCAAGAAGCGCGCGTCGCCTACTGAACTCCCGCTCTGTGCTCGCCCATTAAATCGCGGAAAACGTTGCACCAGCGCGCGCAACTTTGTCAAACATGGTACGTCCGCTGCCACAAATTTGATCTCGCGTAGAATTGGATCGCAAAAATGCCTTTGGTATTCCAAGATTTATCGCCGATTTTTAGAAGACGAAGACTTATGGACGACGACGAAATAGGAAAAAATGAGAGACTTTTGCTCGATAAAGATCAAATAACTGTGTAATTAATTTGAATTAATTAAAGTTCAATTCTTTTCGCAGAATCTCGTTCTGCATCAAGATATAATATTTCGACAATATCCAGTACCAGTTTTGAAAAACAGTATGTTATTATTTGCAAACTATTTTTGACATTTTCGTAGAACTTTATGATTAATAAAAAAATGATAGTTATAATATTATATATCACACATAGTCCATATAATTTAAACTAATTTATAACTATGTTGCTTAAACTTATGTAATAATATCTATATGGGATTATCATTTAATCATTTGGGATTATTTTATTTATTAAAAGTCGAATAAAAAAGTCTTCTTAAAAAATTTCGAAATAATGACACATATCTTTTCAATTTAAGCACGTTTTCTTTTTGCTGAGACAATAAAAACAGAAATGAATTTCAAATTTTCATTTCCTGTAAAGCTCCAGTAGAAGTCTATACCGTTTAGTTTCCACTTTGATAGGTGGAAACTTTTTATTGTGCTTTCATATCTCCTTGAACAATTTACAAAGCTCTTAACTCAAGCCGATTAAAAAACAAATTTAATTTAGTACGAAGTGAATTTCATTAACACTTTCATTTATATCTTTTACATAAACTTTATAGAATATATTTGTATCCTGAGAAAAAAATTGTTCCGATTCAAATCAAGATATCAAATTAAACAAATTATATTAATTATTAATATATTAAATTCTAGCAATATATTGATTAAAATGATTGTAATCATTAAAACAATTTAATATTTGAAATTATCAATAATGTAATTTCTTTTGTTTTATTTATATAATATATTCTTATATCTCATATATTTATGTAGTATGTTCTTTTGTCTTATTTATTTAATTTTTTCTTATGGTTTTTTTACATCTTATTTTTTTCTACATGATGTTAATTTTAAAATAATATTATTTTTTTATTGGCTCATTGTTTTACATATTGGTAAATTTTCTCACGAAAAGATAATTATATTTTAATTATCGTCACTAGACTTTAATTAAATTGAGGCCATCTCTGAACACACCATAAAACAGTTGGACATGTCCTAATTGCGAATTCCTGGTGACTCGTTTATAAGCAGCGGAGATACATTGCGCCATGCAAATTATTCTAATTAGTAAAATCAGCATACAAATTTTAGCTTATCTTTATATGCAAAGTATTTCGAATATCGATTAAATAAATATCAGATTAAAAGTTAATTAAAAGTGATTTTTTGTTAAAAATATATTTTGAGAAGTTTTAAACTATATTATCCTCCTACATTTGTTTTTAAATTATATTTAAAATAACTTTTTTTTTCTTTCCAAAATTATACAATAATGTAAAGTAGCAGTTTAATTAAACAGTCATTAATACGTTTAATTAAACAGTCACTACAGCATTTCAAAATTTATTTTAAATTTTATTGACGCTTATTTTAAATCTTATCATTTTATGTAAAAATTAATATGTGGTTTTGTACAATTAGATTGCATATTTTCTAAAGACACAAAGAAATAATGACCTAATTAAATTTATTTGTTAAAAAATTAAGCATCAAAATCTAATTATGCTTCAAAAATTAAAGAAGATTTCATTTTTAATATATTGTAAAATAATAATTATATAAAATTGAAGAAATCTGAAAAATGTATATCAATTTGTTTAATTCTTCAATTAAAGTACTATATGTTCAATTGAGTAATATTCACATCCACAGCTTTAATTGCTTATTAATTACAAAAATATACGCACAATAAACTGATGAAAAATATGACATATATACATGACATTTCTTTAAAAATGATATCTATGTATATAATGCTTTTGTTAGTATACGTATATATATAATATGTATACGTATTACGTATACATATTACATATGCAACATATGTAATGTCGTATAAAAATATGTGCAACTCTCATTTTTCTCTCCTGTGCTGAGTAATCAACATTTTTTATAATTTTAATGGTTACTCAACATATGTATATGAATATAGTGTTAACTTTTTATAGTGTCATTTTTTTAAATAAAAAATAAAAAGAGATATATAGGGAAATACATCGATGCAGCTCTTATAATGCAATTCTTATCTATTTATCTTCTTATCTTTATTTCAAAATACATTGATAAAATATATATATGCGCATATTTTTTTATCTACAAGTTATCCCAGAGATTTTTAATATTTACCTTAATATAATTTTTACCTTAATATTAACAAAGTTCATGGGATGTAAAAAATTAAATTTTCCGAAATTTTTTCTTTAAAAAAAATTTTTAACTTTTGCTCATTTCTGATATTGAATTTTTAATAATTAAAAATCTATAAGCGAGTTTAAATAAACATATTTAGTTATTAATTGCAACAAATAATTCGCGAGAAACCTCTATTATTTTAAATGTTATAAATCGAGATTTTTCTCTTTCGGAATATTTCGCATATTTATATATATGCATCGCTCTCTTTCCTTTTGACATCGCATTAATACCTATGATGGATACAGTCGTAATGGTAACTTCGCACAAAAGTTCGAATATTCATGTTTACCAATCACTCAGGAGAATTTGTACTCTAATAATATATACAAGAATATACGTTCGTGCTACTCGCCTGAATCTGTCAATCATCATCACGGATAATTAATCAATTAGGCATGCGGTACATAATACCTTTTCTTCAATAATTCGAGCTCATTATAATCTCCTCGCTCTTTTCTTCTCTTCTTCATAACGCTCAAAATTACAGTAGTTTTTCGATGGTTGCTTTTTTCGCGGAAAATGACTATAATATCGTGCGCATACGACAATGCTATTATTATAATGGCATTACACGACATTATCAAATATTACTACGCGCGACGAGAATTGTTTAAGGACGAGCTATCGACTATGGCATATCCACGTTACTAGGTAATTAATGGAATGAATACAATACGCACTAGACAACAGTAGTAATAGTAGTAGCGTTGGTTACTGGATCATGCGCACTTGTTATATTTTTTTTCATTTCGTATTATAATTATTAAATGTATATATAATGGACATGATTGAACGAATCAGCTTTTATTTTAGTTAAATTAATCAAATATCACTTAAAACTTTTTTATTAAGTGCAAACATTATTATATTTGCTCTTCTTTTTAAATTATAAATAATTTAAAAAATCGACATACAAAATGCAGATAGATAAAAATCAAGAAAAATTTATTAAATGGCGACAATTTATTATAGCCGATTTTACAAACGAATTTTTAGATTTGCTCATGCGAATTCGGCAAGTTAAATAGAGTTAAAAAGGCTATAAATATTTAATGTAAAAATATAATAAATGTTTATGACACGCATCGGCTTCCCATCCGGCGTTGTCATCCGCGGATAAAAAAAAATAAAGACAATATATATTTTAAAAATGTTATCGCAATTACCGTGCATATTCGACCGAGATATGATTTCGACATAGATAATTGATGGCTAAAATTACTAAAGAAGGCACATTAGACTTGTTTGAAACAATTCACAGTGATTCAGTCCTGTTTCTACTTCCCCAGGCAACAAGACAAGATTTCGTATACGAAAATACTTAATATATAAAGAGGTCTTCGCCCGCAATATGTTCAATAAACATACATCTAACAATTATTGCTGTGTGGACTAGCGGCAATTTACTCTTCGGCGTCTTCAGCGTCTAAAATACTCTTAAAGTAAAATGGCTGGAAGGGATATCCTAGACCCTCGTAGAACTTAGTCATAAACTCGACCCTAAAGCACAAAACAAGACGAAAATAATGAAAGATATAATAAGAAGCTATAATCATCGAGATATTGCGTCTCATTGACTTCTATAATCAATAAACATAAAAAAATCATAAAAAATAAATGTCGATGTCAGTAATAAAACGACAATTTAGATCATGGATAAAAATATTTTGAAAAATTAATACAGAAAATTTGTGATATTTATCAATTAAAGCTGCAAATTAATTGAAAGTAATTCTTATTCACCGAAAGTTGAATTCAATTTGTCTCTTCTCTCATATCTAGAAGAAAATTTTTTAATCTTCTTAAAAATTTTTAAATTTCTTAAAACCAGTCTTTAAAAAATTGAAAGAAACATACACAAGTAAGATCATCGTACGTACCAGTGAAGTCGAAGTGTATGAAGAAATGCCGACAAGCCCTCCATCATGACAAGAATGACAATGGTAAAGAAGGCCCAGACGGCAAAGGTGAAAAATAGTATGATGCTATTTTGATACTGATCTTCTCCAGCGCCTAAGCCTATTCGCAATACTCTGTTCCAGAGCACTTCAGATAGCTGGGAATGAGCCAAAGACAGCGCCCACAACCGTAGATAGGAGGCAGTGTGCGAGACGGTAGACAAGACATATTCTATGGTGTGGATAGATTGATGAATCATCAGCTCACCGAAGCTATCTTCATTGTGACCGTGACCACCTGCCGCATCGTTACTCGCCCCCGTGTTCTGTAATTCCTGCGGCTGCAATTCGATGTCCTGGGACGCACTTCCGTTGCTCTACAGCATGAGCAATGCACGTACAATGTCAGCTAACGTCAGCATTTCATTCGTATTTGCAATTAAATACGGAACGTAATTTTATTGATACAGCGGATACGAACAAAATATATTTCATCATTTAAATGATAATCTATCTTATTTTCATTTATATTACATATTTCACATATTATAAATTATAATCATTTTTATAGTATTTTATAAATATTCGCAAAGATTGTCTCTCACAAACTTGCGAAAATTATTAATTTTATAATTAAAACTAATATGAGATAAATTCCGCATTATCGAAAATGCATTAATAAAGATGTATTATAAATGTACAATAAAATAAATAATTTCCCTAACATTTCAAATAAAAAGAAAAAAATGAAATATCAATTAACAAATTATTATTAATGTAATAAGTATTATGTAATATAATTAATGATAATTGAACAGATAAAATAATGCGTTACTTACGTAAGATTTCCCTGAAGTTTTAATTTTTTTTGAGCATACTATAAATAACGGTTTTCCAAACAGCATCACGGGGACGCATGCTACAGCGGAAAACAGGAGAACTTTTTGCAAAATATCCTGTCCCTCAAACATGTATTGGGAGCAACCTTCGGGCACAATGGCATTTTTGAAGAGCATCATGTTAATAAACGTAATCAAAACTGATGGTGCACAACCTGGTCTTCGTCCTATATCTACAGTATAATACATATTACATTAGCGATGATGCGCGCGCGATTACTCTAACAATAAGATAAATTTAATATTTACCATCAGACGAAGCGTTGTACAAAATCCATTTAATAAACATCAAGGCAGTCATGTAAAAAAACAGGAAGATAAGGAAGAACAATTGCGGTAGAAATTCAAGGAAGAAACTGGAATACTTCTTGAAATACCTAAAAAATTACAATGCGACGCGATAAAATATACAGAGATCGCGAAAGATTTCATTCATTTTCTTGAAAAATAATGCAAGTATTTTACACGAACATAACTTTCGAAATGCTTTCTATTCTTGTTATATCAAGATGTTATTCATATATTACTTAATCATGCTAATACATATCTTCACATAGGAATAAGATATTGTTCTCACGATTTCGTGATCCAAAGGAGCTCAAGAAACATCGCAGTTTAACGTACATTGTTCTATATTAATATGTTGATACGTAAATAAAATTTATATTTTTGATAACATTTTATATATTTAGAATATATTATATATAAAGTAATTTTTTCATCAAGACTGCAATACTTACATAATATTGACCACGTTCACGCACACACCGAAAATCATGTGTACGACGCCGAAAATGATGGATAACTTCATTTTGAACGAATTCTGAAATACAATTTTGTTGTGAGCGAGCGCCCAAACCGGATCTATGCCCAAAGGATATGGCTTCTGCAGATAGTGTTTCGCCTTCGCCTCTGGCAACAAGTCCAACGTCTTGTTATATATTACATCGTGAGTCGTATACGTGGCCCTCCAACTAGATCCGAATATGTTAACTGACTTTGCAAATATATCATTGTAGATGAAACCGCTGTAGATGGAAAACAGACCCATGAGAAGGATGATGTAACGACCGCCGAAAAATAGATTCCAGATCTCATTGTCCGATTTTTGAGCGATGATCTTCTTCTCCCGTAACACCATGGCAGTGCCAAAAAGCGTCAGTATCAATCCTAAATCAGCAATAAGTCATACCAATAATGATATGTGAGTATACCATATTTCGTGTATTTATTATTTTCCATTCATTTTTTGTCCAATTTATTCACCATGACCAGCATCGCCGAACATAACGCCGAACAGGAAGGGAAACGTAATGATGGTGTAAAGCGCCGGATTAGCCTCGCGATAGGATGCCACGCCGTATGCATCAATCAGATTTTGAAATCCTCTTGTAAATTTATTTGTCCTGTTAAACGTCGGGGGATTTTCATCCGTATGGATCACGTTGAGAAACGATGGTATAGAATTCCCGCATTGTTGCTAAAAAACATATCTCACGTTCTTTCGTTTCATGCTTCATGTATTACATTTTGAATTATCTATTATTACCTGCAGATAGTCTCACAAAATAAAAATATTAGATGTTTCAACAAATTATATAAATTATATAAATTACTTGTTAAAATAAAATTCAAGGATTTTTATTGCGTCCCACTACTTAAAACATTAATGATTTGTTTATTTTTAAAATATTTAAATTAGTGCTAAAAATATAATCATGCACGTTATAAACTTAATTAAATATTTATATATACTGACCGATCCTTCTGTAAGGCAATTTTGCACGGTCCCAAGATCGGCAATAGGCACCCAACATTCTCCAATAAGACATTTTTTCGACACATCCATGTTAAACAAATTCATCGTATGATAAATAGCTTTCATCTTTCGAACCATAATACTCCAATTTGGCAATTCTTTCGCTACATTATGCAGAACACGTTGACGATGATCTTGCGTTTGATTTAATACCTTAAAAAATATTATGTCCAAATGCAAATAAGATATTTTCATACTATATCTGTTTATATATATCCATAAATATTATAATGTTTCTTCAATTTAAATATAAAGAATGTTGTTTTATTAAATTAAAGAATCTAATAAAATTTAAATATCTAATAGAATTCAATAAAATTAAATAAGATTTATAACAGATATATTTACACTGACTGTTATATTTATTTATTTTAATATACGACAATCTCACCAAGTTAAGATCCGCCAACTGTGTTCGCACAGCTTTCAGTTTTTCCTGACGTTTAGCCTGACTCGTCGGACAATCATAAAGTGAAGCACGGAAACCGATGCAAACCTTCTTAATACGAGTTTTCAACTGTTCTCCTTGAAAAAACGCCACGAAAGCTGTTTTATAAATTTTGTTGCTCTGAAAATATTTCAAGGAGAGAATCAGGCGCATCAAGGAACGAATGTTATTCTCATTTTATAATGAGAATATATTTGATATTTAAAACATAAATTAATCTTTCGCGAGAGCTATTAATTTTATTCTGGTATTGCCTGTTTGGAAACTCTGAGAGAGAGACACATTTTATTTTCTTATATAAGATAACGCATATAAAAAAAGAGAAAAAGATAACTCGATTTATTTTATGCGTATTTAAAGAAACAAATTATTATTTTACTTACCAAAATTAGTATTGTACATATTATAAATTACTATTTTTATAATTATTGTAATAATTATTTATAATAATTGTTATAATTATTCAAATATATATATATATATATATTTCTTTTTAATTATTATAAGACCTTTTGATATGAATTTTTTATAAGCACAATCTACATGCAATATAATAAATTAAGTAATTTTTCTGTATATGTAAAAAATAAAAAAATAATCAGAACTAACCGTAGCTGGATCTTCCAATGGCTTTTCAATTTCGGTTTGTCGAAGAAATACGTTTCCACGAGATATACGCCAAAGCATTCTCTCGAAGGCAGGAACTCGTTCGCGATTTATTACTCCACCGACGAATCTATAAGGAAAGAGAGATGTTATTCTAATAGTACATATATAGTATAATTTATTAAGTAATATATATTATATATAGCATTATATAAAACTGTTACTACATATTAATTTTGTTAAAAAATTTTATATAAAATTATCTATACATAAATATATATTTATTATATATTTCCTTCCAAGCCTATGTTTTATCATTGAAATTAATTAGAGAAAGAATTATGCAACTGATGATTGACGTATATACACACATACACACACACATACACGAATTCATTTTTTCCATTTTAAATAAATGGCATATGCTTTAGTACAATTTATTATTCCAGGACAAATTCTATTAGAATAAATGCGTGTGTTAAAGCAATAAAGAAGAGTATTAAAATACAAAGCTGTCCTTTTTTAATGTTATTAACACATAACGTCATATGTATATCTGTTTATATTATATCTAATACGCACACGCGAGGCTTTTATAATTAACGATTCATCAGCCATAAACTTACTCCAGATGTCCACGAATGGAAGTTGCTGGATTCGGTGCTTCCTCGCTAATGAGCGCCTTGGTGATCGAGTCGTTGGCCTCTTCCTGTTGATACAGAAGAAGAAGAAACGAATCTTGATTCTTCGACAAAACGGTAACATCGATTACACGAAGGAGGACGGCGCTACGAACAAAAGCTGCTGAACTACTTTAGGTACCTCCGAGAAAAACACTTGCGACTTTTCGAGCACGTGCTGAAATTCCGTCAACTCAAGATAGTTGCTCTTCAGATTCACCCCGTTCTGGCTCAGCTCTTGTATATCGTTCTCCGTTTTCTCGAGATGCGCCTGTTACAAGAGAGAATACGATTAATATACTATTAAATCAAGTAGAAATATATTAATTGTAAGTAATAATGTTATTGTTGAATATATATAATAATTAATAATAATATATGTCAATAAAAATATATATAACATTAAAAATTTATATACTATATTTAATATATACAATATATTATATAACATATAATATATAATATATAATATAAAATATATAATATATTATAATATATAATATATAATATATTATAATATATAATATATAATATATATAATATATAATAGATAAAATATATATTATATATTATATATAATATTATATAATATATATTATATTTCTATAATATAATTTTAATAATTCACCGTTTAATCAGATATTTGATTTAACTTTGCGATATGCCAAGATAAAGTATACCTCGTGACTTATCATTGTATTCGTATATTGAAGATGAAATGTATGTATGACAGCGTACAATGAAATATCGATTCAAATCATATATTTTACGGAAGAGAAAAATTTTACCTCGAGATTTATAATCTCACGTGGGTTAGGAGCCCGCGGTAGTTCCGTAAGATTATCCGGGATCGGCACACCATCTTTCCTGACTTCCGCCTCGATGTATCGAAGCTTTCGTTCCAATTCGTCGCATCGTCGGACCTCATTGACGAACTTCCGTTGAAAATAATTCACATCGCCGTTCAGCTATAGACAACATCAAAACGATATTATCGATGTTGAAAAAAATATATTTAACAACTATAACTTCAACATTATATATGTTCAAACAAGTGCACAGAAACTTTTTTTACTTAATCGTATGTTAATTAGATTGAATCATAAGTATGTTTACATAAATATAACTCCAAAAAATATACATTTAAAAAATCGTAAGTATATAAAATTCTTTCATATTCCAATATTTTTGATCCATTAACAAACAAAATCACTGTGGATCGCACTTTTTAATCATCATAATGTTATCATCATTATGGTCAGATTAATTATGTCATAAATGTCATAAAGCAATCAATGGAGAGTATATTTAACTTACATCACGAAATTGCACCGTACCGGTTTCTCCTAGTTCAGAAACGGAAAGGTAAGCTGCCTCCGGCTGAATGAACAGCTGGCAAAGAGCCATCTCCTCACTTCTGAACATTCCCCCCATTTTTAAACTGATTTAATCCTTATCCTGTGACGAGAAATAATATTTCTTTTAAACTGCAGCTTTTTTTATTTTCTTACTTTCTATTAAACATGAGAGAAAATATTTAAAATATAACACATTTTATAAATTGATTAATTCCAAAAATTACTTATGAAATTACATTTTTTATAAATATATAACTGTTTTAAAATTATTTATCTTAGCCATACAACAAATCATTCAGCCGAATCAACTTAAAGAATAAAATTTTTACATGATACTATTTAATATGAATATTATTACATATAAAGATATCAATATAAATAAATTAATGTAAACTGAAATTTTAATTCCGGTATGCTATTTTTAAAAATAATAAAAATGCACGTAAAAATGTAATAATAAGATGCAAAAATATTCATGAATCTTAATCTACAAGACTTATGACAATTGATATATTGCTCAAACATTGATAATTATTAGATAAGATAATTGTATTTAAAATTTGAAATTATGTCTTATTAACATGGTACACTTATCATTATCAATTAATAAATTTGTCATGTAAAATATAATAAAAAAATAGAAAACGAGGCCATTATAAAACGTTAATTTCACATATTTCTTAGCTATTTGTTAATATATTTGTTAGCTCTCTTAATAAAATGCAGCAGGAAAAAAGTAATGAGCCTCCTGAACAGATAAAAAATTAGTACAATTTTTTACTTCGTATTGAAATATATGAGTTGTAAAATTTAAAATAAAAAGACCTGTCACATTTGTAAAAAACAGAAGACGAAACATTAAGCGTAATATAAATTTCCGAATAAATCACAAAGTTCTTTTTATCAACTGACAATAATTTTATAAATGAGATATATAAAAAAGTTCACTAAACGTAGAAAGATTCAGAAATGTTAAAACCGTAGTAAAAGAAGATAGTTTTCTTATTAGTAAGAAAACTACCAATATTTAATTTGCAAATAACACTCATTTATATTCGACTTTGGAGAATCGAAGATTTATTCATAGATAGAGAATTTGGATAGATACGATTTCTCATAGATACGAATTTCTTCTACAAAATGCAACGAAAGGTATAATTAGAATTAGATGATGAAACACGACGCTTTGACATTATATCTCGTGAAACGTAATCGCCAAAAAGTCAAACGAAATGTTTTACAGCGCTATTTTCATGTAGGTGAAGACGCAAGGGTAAACACACGAGTACGAGATAAACGAAACGTTCATAAATATGTACGTGAATAATAAAGTAGTGTATACTTGCGTCCCTCATGCATCCTCGTCGGACTAAATTCTCACTGTTATCTCGTTCGTCGGCGAATAAAAAAATTAATATTACACACTTGCTTTTGAAATCTAATAACAATAGCAAATGCGCATATATATGCACATATATTATAAAATTTAAGAAAATAAAAAAAGAATTGGCTCATGTCACGAACACGGCGATGACTCGAGAATATGTAGATTTTTAGTTTTTGTTAAAATGTAAATTATGTTCTACAGAATTTAAAAAATGATATTTCTCGGAGACATAACGGAATATTTTTCATCACTAGTCATCCGCGTTCGATAAGAGACTAAATAAAGAAACGATTCGATATATTTTCTCAGGCAGAAATTTTTTGATGAGAAATTTTGATGTTGTCATATAAGATTCATAATTAAATTACTTCAATACTACAGAAATTTACAATGCTTTCCTTATTTGATATTTTAATGACATTTTCGTGTGTGTATATATATATATATATATATATATATATATATATATATATACAGGGTGTCCCAGATCACTTGTATACCCCTTTTAGAATGAAAATAAATGGCTTTATCAAAAATCGCGAACAAGTTTTAAGTAAATCGTACGCTCTATCAAATGATGATATTTTCAACTTTTGATTTCGACCGAAAATACGTCATCCGGATCGGAAGTTAAATTTTTTTAGGAGAACATGGTACTTTTTATTACAGATTCGAATTGTACGTGAAAAAAATAAGAAATTTTTGTATCAAACGTTTTTTCTTAAAGTAGCTCTGTTATTTTATCATAATTACTTTCAAGATCAATTTTAAGATTGACAGAGACACTTTTAGAAAAAATTGTGTGTGTGTGTGTGTACATATATACGTATGTATGTATGTATGTATATGTATATATATATATATATATATATATATATATATATATATATGATTGTATGTATCTTTTTTGAAATAAGTAATATACATTGTAAGCAAGTTCTTAGCTCGATTAAATATCAAAAAAATCATTAGCTTTCCATTGAGCGCCTCAAACTGTTTTGCTTATCAGTATACCATTGCCTGTAGCAAATTCTAAAGAGAACTTCGAAATGCTAACGTGTTATCAACGCGACTAATTAACATCTCAAGGCCCGTCTGCTTAAATTAGCATTTTCATTGATGTATAGAGAATATTTTATTATGTTGTAACGAATCAGTTCTCTTGAATTAATAAAGTAATGAAAAAGCTATTCTGAGATGATGAATATTTCCTATTCAAGCGTGAACTTCAACGTGAGAATATTATATTTAAACGTCGATTTATATAATATAATATATGCCATTTTATATTTTAAGAAAAGATAATAAGCGACGAAAACATTTCACACGAGCAGTTCATCAAAATTTCTATCCAGAAATTGTATTGCTACATTTAATTGCTTGTCGCACATTCTTCCTCCGTTTATAGCAAGAAACGACTTTAATTGAATAAGTAATTTGTCACATTGGCGTCGTAATATCATCAAAATACAAGAAAAGAATTATTAAGAGAATTATTCTCATATTTCATCGCATTAATATTTACAAATTAGTTTCAGTTCTGTTATATCAACCCATGTTGAAGCGTAATAAAAAAGAAAAAACTTGAAAGAATAAAATTCGTTTCCAATTTTCATATAATTCGTTATTGATTATACTAACAATATACAAAAACTTTACTGCAAAATTTTTATAAGTAGTGAAAAAATTTGCTTTCTGTTGCTTGATTTAATTTTAATACAAATTATTTATGATTTAATTTTTTTAGACAAATTTTCCATTACAAATCATTAAATTCGTTATTATTAATAATTATTAAAATTAATATAATGCTAAATAATTAAAATTAATAATGCTAAAAAATTTGATGAGTCTACTAGTCTTTAAATAAAGATAAAAAAATAAAACAAATTTAGTACTAAATAAAAAAATATAAAAATATATTCGAGAGATATTTAATCGACATCGAATGAGTCTGAGAGTGTAACCATGGAATGTAACAGTTGCGTGCGAAAATGCGTAAATAGGTAAAATTGCGACAAATTGACGACGGACGGGCGTTGGCTTCCTGTGAAATTACAGAGACAATTGTTAGAACTTTACCTTTATATGTGAACGATTAAATAAATCGCGTTCATGTTAGTATTATCACATACATTATTCTCTTATAATCTCACAATAAAAAAGAAAAAAAAACAAAAACAAAAGTCTATTATCTGAAAAAAATTACCTAGAAAATAAAGTATTATAAAAATAAAGAACCTGATAATGAAAGAGATGAAAAAAGAGAAAAGGAAAAGAGGGGGCAACCACTTATATTGCTGATTAGGTTGTAACCTTAATAAACTCGGCGCAAGTTCTTCACGTGTGCGCTGTTATGGCTGACTATGAACTATGTGAGATTATAGTTTGCGAGATGTTCAAGCAAGTGTTTTATTGTAAGAAAACAACGTATATCGATTAGTGATATGATAACAAATCAGACAAAACAACAAGTAACGAGTGAGAAATGTAACAAACGATATCTCTTCAAATGATATGAGTTATATCATAAGCAATGAAAAAAAGTTATATCATAAGCAATGAAAAAAAAAGTTGTAAGTTATATTGTGTGAATTATACATTCTCCGATTATCCGAGTGTTTTACGAGAAAAAACCTAGCAAAGCAGATTTTTCCTTTGATATAAAACATAAAGCTTCCTCATAAATAGCATAAATGAAAATATAAAATACCAAATATGTTATGTATATGTATCTTTTCAACAATTAAGTATTCATGTGTTGATCACTAAAATATTAAAATCGATGTTCATTACTATTTAATTATGACCGAAATTCTTAAAACTGGTGACAGTATTATAATGGATTTCTAAATGTCAATCTAATATACTGTACGATACATGAGATTTTTGAATGATTCATAATATACATAACATCTGTAATGTGCAAATAACATGCCGGCACATTATACTACGTAATGAAGATTGACGAATTGTATGTATCAATTTATCACCTTATCATAATTTAATCTAAATTGAGATCTTAATTCAAGGTTAAATTAAATCGAGCTAAAAATCGATCGTTGAATCGATCAGCTTAAAAAAAACGTAAGTCTAGAATTAATAAAAATAAATATAATAAATAATAAATAAAAGTAATAAAAGTAAAAATAATCGTCGAAATGTACTTCATATATAACAATCTATGCGAAAACAACAAATCCACGTAACAATCACATCGTAAGCACATCATATGTTGTTAGAAAACAAGAAAAATCCTGCAAGGCAACCGTTCTTATTTGCCAGACACATAATTTTTATCGAATTTATATATTATTCTCGAAACGAGATTGAGTCTGATTATCTTATGACACATTTATCGAATCATATACTTGACGTACAATAAATTACAGATGCTAACACGGGCAGACGTTCATGGGTTGATGAAAATAGCGCGAAAATATTGACTTACACTACTGATAACACATACGTTTGTCAAATCGCATTCAGACTACCGACGATTAAACGTTATCGTTCTTTGAAAAAAAGGAAAAATATTATATAACAATACTACGAGAGCGGATTTGATCGGATATAATCGTACCGAGCGACTGGCGCACGTCTCGTACCATGTGGACCTACAACTTCGCCGTTGGTTCCGATTCAACGAGTGTGCAACAACACAAGTCCGGGTCAACTAGCTACAAACAAGGACGACAACGAGAGAGAAGAAC